TTAGAAGTCTGTTTCCCCAAAACAGATCTAATCAAAACAAAGTTATCCATCTGAAAAAAATTTTTGAGACAGGGTCTTGTTGTGTAGTTCAGACGGGCCTTGAACTCACTTTATAGCCCAGGATGGTCTCAAACTCACAGTAATCCTTCTGCCTCAGCCTCCCTAGTCCTGAGATTATAGGCTTGCACCACCACACCAGGCATAAATCTGAAAATCAACAAAATTTTTATAATCAGTACAGTCCTAAACTTTCTTCTCCTGGGTGTGGTGGTGCACACCTCTAATCCTAGCACTTACAGGAGGCTGAGGCAGGAGGACAGCTTGGAGTTCAAGGCCAGCCTGGGCTACAAAGTGAGTTCAAAGTCAGCCTAAACTGCATAGTGAGACCATGTCTCAAAAAAAAAAAAAGGATTATTTTCAACATTTGCAAGTTTTGGCCAGGTGTGGCATGCCTGTAATCCCAGCACTGGGAGGCTGAGGCAGGAGGATCACTGTGAGTTCGGGAGGCCAGCCCGGGCTACCTAAGTAAATTTAAGGCCAGCCTGCACTACATAGCAAGACCCTGTCTAAAAACAAAACAAAACAAAACAAAAAATTTGGAAGTTCTTTTTATGTTCTAGACAAAATGTTAAGCACTACTTATATTATTCCATTGCGTCCTCCAACAACACTACGAGGCTGATTAACAAAAGAGACAGGGTGTTAAATAGCTCACTCAAGTGACGCAGATCTTGAACTACGCTGTCTCAGACAGTTTGTTTGAAATTAGTGCATTATTAACCTTACTAAATTCTAAATTCACCTTAACAGGAGCACTGCTTTCCTTTGCCTACTTAGGGACTTATGCTGTTTTAACCAATGACAAATGCGGCACTAGAGCCCAAACTGTTCCGTAGAAAGAAGAGTGTGTAAGCGGAAATGCTTCAGAGATTTTTATAGCAATATGGATTATTACAAATGTAGGAGTAATCCTGTCTGTTGAATCTAGTAACAATCAATGTGTTTCTTTTCTGAGTTCAGCTTCATTTCATTTTTCTAAATGTACTGGCCTGGATTGAAATAGAAATTTAAAACAAAAATAATCCTCAGGCAGTCAACCTAAAATCCTACTTTGGCCATCTGTTTGCAGCTAACTTCATTTATTAATCAGAGCAGCAGCTAAGCTGAGGTTATACTAGGGAAGGCACGTTCGCAATCTACTTATGCATTATGGAGCACTGTAATTAAGAGCCCTCCCTCAAAAAACCCTGTTTATAGAACTGAATCCAAAAATCATAACAGGGTGTTAAACTCGAGTACCCACCTCTGCTACCCGACAGGATCTCATTGTAGAAAGCATACCATGGCTTCCTTTACAAGTTTTAGTTTTTCTTCCCATGTGGTGAAAAAATATCATCTTAATTAGTCATTTATAAGTACATTTGAAAAACCGGAGATTTCTTCTCCTTGTTTCTATAAATCATTCAGGCAGAAAGGTACAGTTGCTAGGGCAAATGACAAGGAAGAAAGTCATGAAAGTGTTAGTTATTTTGGGGGTGAGGAGTACCACATACACCTCTTGATGGTCTTAATGATAAGGGAAGTGGATTCTGCTATGGCAATTCAGACTACTTGATTTTAACTCATTTCTAAATACAAACGCTGCCATAATTAATAGTTGGATTGACAGGCATGGTGGCGTACACCTGTACTCCCAGCACTCAGAAAGCTAAGGCAGAAGGATCGCTGTGAGTTTGAGGCCAGCCTGAACTGCATAATGAGACCCTGTCTCAAAAAAGAAAAAAAAAAAATTAATAGTTTGACTGGTCATCTAATTCTAGGAGAAATTCTGAAGAAAAAAGTGTTGAATGGCAAAGCAACAGCAAGATTACGAGCATGAATACAAAGCATATCTTTCATACAAATGAGAGTGAACTGTAAAAGTAGATTTGTTTGGTCCTCTTATTTAATACCACTGGTCCCCAGGGAAAAGCTAAACTCCCTTAAAAGTGGATGGCATTTAATCAGTGTAGAAGTTTGGGGAGCTATTTACTTTTTTTTTGTTTGTTTTTTTGTTTTTCTTCCAGTACCAGGAATCGAACTCACGACCTTGCGCTTGCCGGGCAGGCGCTTTGCCGCTGAGCTAAACCCCCAGCCCTTTGGGGAGCTATTTACTAAAGGGTAGAAATTGTGCTTCCCAAGTCCCTCTTATATGAAGTTATTTTTACAAAGTTGTAATCTTACTAGTTTCACTGTATAGTACATCAGTCAATAACATAACTTGCCTAGAAAAAAATGCTTAGTTCCTGCAATACTTTTTTCTTCAGAATTTCTCTTAGAACTAGTCAGATGACCAAACTATTAATTTTTTTTCTTTTTTGATTTTTTTTGTACTTACACTCGAACTCAGGACCTTGTGCTTGCCAGGCCAGCACTTGTGCCACTGAGCTATATCCCTGGCCCTTTTTTTTCTTTTTTGAATTCTAAAATATTTTTGACTAAGTTAGATAGCATTCATTCTATTCTAATGGCACAAAAGGCATTGCTCTTGCTATAATAACAAACATACAGTATCATGAATGATGATTTGTAGCATTTTACAACATACAGTTGAGGCTGCTCCTCCCTTTTTGCTCTTGCTGCTTTTGCTGTTTTCTGCTGCCATGAACCATTGCCTTCTGCCATGTGCCACTCTGCCTTGGAGCCAGCCAAGTATGGACTGAAACCTCCACAAATTATGAGCTAAATAAACCCTTCCTTCCTTTAAAAAAAAAAAAAAAAGATATACAGTTGGAAAAAGGCCACTTAACTATCAATTTGGCAAGCCACAAATGACATGGTATACTATTAGCTTTATTAATGGCCTGGTTAATAACACCACTCACGTAGATATTTCCTGTTAGTGGGAAAAAAAATAGAACATACCTGTATATCTCAGTACTCACTCAATACTTATTCTAGAAATTTTGAGAAAATACTAAAATTGGAAAAGTTCCAAGCATTTACAAAATGTTATCAGTATATTCTGTGATACATAATAAATATATTCAGCATGGTTAAGCATTTCACTGAAATTAGAAGTTTCAGCTGAGCATGGTGGTGCAGGCCTGCAGTCCTAGCTACTCAGGAGGCTGAGGCAGGAGGACCGCCTGAGGCCCAGGGATTTCAAACCAGCTCGGGCAACACACTGAGACCCCGTTACAAAAAAAATTGTACAGGTTGTTTATTTGAATTAATTATAATTCTTCATGAATATCACTTCATTAAATCTTCAAGCATACAAACCAATCCAAACCTCACAAACGTCAGGCCTAACAGTGTCAACCTAATTTTAAGGCAGTTATAATAGGGAAAAGCTGTTTATGTTAGAGGAAAAGCGAGCAGGCTCCCCAAGTACTGAGCAGGCAGGTGACCCAGAAGAGTGAGGCGGGCGTCACAGGCCAGGGAGTACTGAGACAATCCGCTGCTCCTCGGCTCTACCCAACCGTCACCCTGCGGCAAAAACTACCCAATAAAACCAAATATTCTACGAACCTAGCAAAGTCTGCGGCCCGGCTTTGTAGATGGGCCGCCCTGTACATCTGCTGTGTACCTTTACAGCAGTGGACAGTGCGACGAAGCACCGTTCTGAGTCAGAAGAATCTAGATTTCAACAGCTCTGATTCTAATACCCTTCAGGAATTTGCTCAAATGGCATAATCTGAGTCTTCAATTTCCTCATCTGTACCTCCATCGGTTTTCAAGTGAAGGATGTTTAACATATGTAACTTTTTACAAATACTGTGTTAGATACGAGGGATACAGATAAAAAGGGAAATAACTGGGGAAGCAATTCAAGCCTCCCATCCAGCGGTGGGCTTCCCCATTTGGTCAAACTCACACCCTCTAGTCCTGCCTTCCTTCCTGCCCCAGCCCATTTTTTCATCAGCGAAGTCTCTACTTCAGGTTTCTGGTCAGCCTAGCTCAACACCTCGCGCACACCTCCCGTTTCCTTTGGGTACTGTCCAGACTGGCACGGACACAGGGCCTACGCTACTGCTGATCTCCAGGGCAAATCCACGAACACATCTTTCTTCTGAATGGAGTTTTTCTCCCCACGGGTTTAACACTGTGCACTTGGCCTCTTTATGACAATCAAAGGATTTATCTACATTTTCAACGAACAACACCCTCATCTATCACTCTCTAGTAATGTTTAAGCAATGACAACGCATCAAGTTAAACAAAATGTCAATACACATTAACCAGAAGTTTGTTTCTAAGCAAAAAGACTTGAAAACAACCTCAGAATATCCGTTCCAATGCTCTGCTTCTTTACAAGGAAAAGAGGTAAAAACAACCTAATTTAGCTGGGTGTGGTGGTACACAGCTATAATCCCACCTATAATCTGGGTGGCTGAGGCAGGGCGATCTCATACTGGTAGGCAATTTAACAAGAACCTTTCGCAAAGTTTAAAAAAATAAATAAGAAAGGGGATGTCGCTTTGTGTGCAAAATAAACTAATTTATGTGAGTTAAACAGTTTCTGTGTTAAACTACAATTATTATACTACTGACTGCTGTAAAGGTACCCCAAAAGGAACAAACTTTGCCTCCCTTAAAATGTTTGCTTTTCCCAAAAAGAGAAATTATCATATTGATTTTAGCTCCTATGGACAAATAATATTCTCCATTTGTTTTCTTGATAACAAATCTCGGTACCTGGAGTCCTTGAAACCTCTGGGAATCAACAGAAAAGTCACGGTGCCTCTCCTGGGAACTGCAGAGCCCCACATTTTTTTCCAATTTCAGGGGATTCAGAATACTGCAGGGATCTTCATTGCAGTACCCAACCCACGTTACGATTTCTAGAGCTGAATATGAGTTTTGTCTCTATACTTAAGTCTTTCGATCTTTTAAAAAAGACAGTCTTCCTTAATGAGCCTTTAGCGCCGAGCTTAGGTAAGCAGCTTCCCCTCTGCAACTGTCACTACTTTCTAGCAACCTTCCTGCCAGCTGACAGAAAATCGAGAATTTCTTACCTCCGAGAAATTAACAGCCAAGGGAATGATTCCAGCCACGTAACATCCCACTAACATAGCCAGAGAGAGCAGGCTGATGGAGATGAAATCATCCATTCTGCCCTTTATTCACCCGCCAACGCCACACTTCAATATTCCAGCAGCTTCAAAACGCGTTTAGGCTCTTTAAACGCGCAGTGGTCCCAAGAGAACCAGTGGACGGACTTTCTCGTTCTTTAGGCCTCCTCACCAGGTGTGCTCACGAGGCACTTTGAATGTACGCGGAAACGATCCCTTTTTGCTGATATTAGCACCAGAAAAAAACTTTGAGCACTCTTAGATCCCAGTCCCTGGGTTCTTGGACGCCAGTCACTGCATTCTCGTGGGTTAACAGAGACGGCAAAATTGTTCCAAGGAGCAATTTCTTCAATCTTCGAAATGAGGGAGGTACAATGGCCCGCTCCCCCCGCCACACACACACAACGTCTCAGACAGCAAGAACAGGAAAACCCAAGCGAACTCTGCGTAGTCTCAGAGCCCCTGTTTCTCTCGGATGGCCCCGCAGCTGATCCACTCCCCTAAAGCTGGGACCAGCCCACCGGTCCCAGCCCACTCCCCTCCGAGTCTAGCCTGGGGAAAGAAGTCCTGCAGGTCTCTAACGATGGGTTGTAGGGATTCACCAGCTAAGCTGACATAAAGCTGTCTCTGCCCTATGCCCGATGCTGCCCATGGTACTCCACTTCGCCGGGCCTCGACCCGGAGTCGCCAATACTACAGCTGCCATGGCCGCCAAGTGGCACCTCTTCATTACACTCACTTCCGGATCGCCTCAACACGCCCTCCTTAGAAGGTCACTTCCGGGTTACAACCGACCTCTGGCCCGGGAAACTCATATTGCCGCCATTTTTGAATAGGGCTAATGATAGCTGTTTGTTGGGGGGCACGCTAAACTGATGATCACTTTAGCATGTGCCTAAGAACTACAATACAGAAGACAGAGTCTGGAAAGAAATAATTTTTTCTAAAGCTCCCAAGCTGTCCCTAACTTAAGTCATTGCCCTTATCCAAGATGGCCGAAACAGACCCAGTGTCTTCTCTAGCTGCCGGAAGTGTGCTCATCTCTGTGGTCTTTCGGACGAGTTCCGGTGGGTTCTCTTGAAGAGATTGGCTGTTGGCAGCGTTGCGGCTGAGCTCGTGTGTGGCTTGCGGAGTCGGCGTTTGCTGCGGCAAAGAGAGTTTGGCGCGATGGTGAGAAAGGCCTCAACGGCTCCCGGAGCCCCTAGCCCCCGGGGCGACCCTTTCCCCGTCCATCTTGCGTTCCCGCCCTCAGCCGTCCGGCGCGAGGCCGCCGCTCCCCGCCCCTCCCGCGCGCGGGCCGACGCTTTGCCTTCCCGCCGCCGAGCCCTCGGCCTGGC